GTAGCAGTGACGTCATTATTATAAATTTATATATAAATATATAATAATAGTTATAGATAATAATAATTATATATAAATTAATATATATAATGCATTTACTGTTTAAATTATTTTAATTCTATAATTTGTATAAGTAAAAATACATTAAGATGTTTTACAATAGTTAAAAATAATAATAATAATTTTTGTAAATAGAGCTGAATTTATGCATAAACTAAACTCCATTTAGGGCCTCACATTCTGAAGTTACGACTTAGGGCCTCACGTTTTTAAATTTATTATTCGGTGGAAGGATCTCTTAAATTTTATAGCTTAGAGTCAATAAATAAATCTAAATTCGTCCCTGTCTATAGGAAAATATCATATTACTTCGATTTAACACACATTTTTTTCACACTTTTCGCTTTAAATTCGAGATGATTCGTAAATTTGCAGTAGCCTTTTTCTTGTCACTCTTCAAAGTCTGGCAATGGAAAGTTGATAATAATTGTTATTTGTACTTTATTTTACAACCTAAACTAAGTACAGTATATTTTTAACATCCTAAAACTTAATACGATTTTACTTGACTTTCTCATAACTTTTTGCATATTAATTATATATTTTTTTCATTTAAAATTAGATATTAAAAATGATTATTAATGTAATTAAGTTAGTAAATTAAATAAATAAGAATACAACGAAATAGCTCATTATCATATTTTTAATTTCAAATCTATTCATTACGAATGTCATTAAAAGCAAATGTTTGCCGAAAATTATCTTTCTGTTCATAATTTATTGACAAATAATTCAATAAAAATTTAAAATAGAGGTAAAGTATTAAGAGATTTGACACTTATATATATATTTTTCCCCTGTTTATAGAAATCTTACCTTAAATTTATAAATTGAAGTTGAAATTTAGATAATGTATTAGATTCTGATAATGTTACTTGTGATATATCTTGTATTTTTATAAATTACAAGATATATTTACAAAGAGAATTTTGATATCTTGTTAACCTAAGCCGAGATTCTTAGCAGCATCATCTGTTTTTTTTTTTTTCTTTTATTTATTCATTACAACTCGGCAAAATGACGCAGGTAATTCGAAATTCTTCAAAGAAAAAAAAAATACAGTACTGTCAGCCTAAACATATAAGTTTTATGATGACAAATCAGTGACAGATTTTTAGTCCGGGTTGGTCGAAGGATTTCGCTTAAATACTAAGAAAAGATAAAATTTACCGAGTGCATTTAAAAGTGTTTGAAGAGCGTATTAACTGAAGTAGAAAGAGTGGAAATAAAAAGAAGGAAAGTTAGTGCAGTTTCCAGCAGTTAAGCCTCATTTCTTTCACTGCGGTAATCTTACTCACACAATAACATTCATGTCATGTTGCATTTCTCTCATTAGAATCTACTAGAACTAAGAGGATTAGAAGAGAGAGAGACAAGGATTCTTTTTTCTTGTTTTTAGCACACATTCAGGGTTAAAAGTTACAACAAAGAAGGATTACGGAGTTTTACGGCCAAAGAACAAAAAAACAGCGGGAATATTACGCTTAACGAAAGAATAAAAAAAAAATACATATGAGGTGAGGAAAAAAGAGAATTAAGAAGGAGTCGAATAAGAGACAAGCGTTATTCTTATTGCTTCCACCCCTCCCCGTTTCGGAAAGCGTTTAATTAACAGAGGGTGTTAGCTGTAACTTGTGCATCGATAAAAAAAAAAAAGAGTAGGAAAAAAAAACTAAAAAAGATTATCGGAAAGGACGATGGCTGCTTAAAGAAATTTAGCTTTTTCCAATTGTTGTTAGTCTTGTTAGTTGTACAATAGAAGTTTTTCAGTCATTACACGCAGTTTGTCATTTGCAAGATGCCTCTTTTTATTCCCTCTTTCTCCTAAGAGAACGGATCTAAACAAATTGCTGGTATTCCGGATCGAGTAAGCATATTAAATTTGACGCAGATGGATTTTTACACGCCGATTTCTCATTTTTCTATTCATTTTACACAGATGTCCTAATAAAAATGATAATTTAGCCGGACGAAAAATGACTTTTTTCCCCCCTTCTCTTATTCGTTGACTCTTTACTGAAAAGTATTATTAGTCATAAAATTTTTTTCCACTAGTTTAGAGATAATATACCTAATACATAAACTCCTACTGTGTGAAGGAGCAAAATAACACACCTTGCAATCAGCATATGTCGGAGCGTCAGATCTGGAGACAGGAGAGAAGGCACTTCTTTGCTTCGACATAGATGTTATGTTAGGATAGGCATAGGTCATCGCTGATTGGCCGGTAGCAGTGACGTCACCAGGGACTGTTAAAAATATGACGTGACCTAAGATCTCGGCTAAGAATGCTATTTTTGCTGTACCTAGTGCTAATTATTTCCATTAAATCAATTATGAGCTTTAAAGGTGAAGGAAGACACTCCTTTTCATATTAATATATGCCTAATTAGATCAATTGGAAAAGGCTTCAATTAATATTTAAACTTTATTTATAACCATACAACCTTCTTCCTGAGAGAATTCTGTTACTAAATTTAATATAAAAAAAAATAGTATAAAAAGTTTAGGACTTGTTATGTTGTATTAATTGAAACCTTTTGCCTTCAGTTACACGGTTTTTTTGTTTTTTTAAATAAAAGCATTCTATGATTAATTTTATTATAGATGAGTAAATAAAGACTTAATTTACATACTATCGTAGGAGAGAGAGAAAGAGAAAAAAGAGAGTATTCAAAAAACGAAAGCATAAAATTCGAATATAAAAGTTTAGGATAAAAGCTAAGCTATTTAAGAAAATTTCCTCTTTTCGATTTAAAATAAAAAATAAGTAAATTCGGTTTTTGAGATAAAGTTTACATGTTGATTTCCCCCCAAAAAAGAGGAAAAAAATTTTAAAAAAACATGTTATAAAAGTGCCTGTGTTCGGATAAGATATTAAGAATCTGGAAGCATTTCTTCCGAATCGGAAGAAACGGCTAGTCCAGCCTCCTATACATTTACATTTACGTAACCGAAAATCCATTAGAATAGGATAAACAGCTCAGCGTCCTTTCCGTTTAGAACCACCGCATATTCGGTATAAACATGTATAGTTTTGCCAGAGAGAAGAGTACATCATTTATTTGAAAATGTTTGCGGTTATTCAAAGAGGGGATTATGTGCATCTACAGACTACATTTATGTTATGTTATCCTACTAGATACTATTCTCACTTGATGTACCGTTGAATAAACCTGGTGATCCTGGCACTGCCATATTTCCTAGATTGGTAGGACTTCCATAACCTCCGTTCATGGCACCGGTGCCGTAGGAACTGCCATTGCTGCTATGAGGAGTAGAAGCGTTGGAACCGTATCCTCTCGGAGAAACACTGCTGCTTTGAGCTCGTCCGTATTCTAAATAATAACAGTAATTGCACGTTAATTAACTATCGAATTTTGCAGGAATATAAGCATTCTTAATGTCGATTTTATTACAATTAGCTCTAATACACGCTTAAATTCGATACATTATGGCAAAGAAAAGACATCAATGGATACGATTTTAATAAATTTATCTATGTACAGCCTATATCAAATTATAAAAATTATTATTGTATTTATAATTTTTTTTTAATAAATTGCAATTTGTCAGCAGTATAGTCAAAGAAGTAAGAAATTCATTAAGACGTAAATAAGGTAAAAAGTAATCTAATATCATAAGTTCGTATGTGTAAATCAGACTTTTGAAACTAAATATATGCTTGTTTTCTACGATTGTAAATAAGATTCTGAGAAATTACAAGTAAAATTTCCCAAATCTTGATATAAACAGAGTTTGTTTCGGCCGAAACAAAATAAATTACTCGAATTTTAATTTAGAGAAGTTTGTAAGAGAAATATAGAGCTAGAATTTGACTTACCTCCACCGTTTTCTTGAACATTGACAGCCAATTGTCCGGCATAGGCATTGAATCCGGACATAGCTGTGGCATTGTTAAGGGCGGGGGATCTGGGTGCAGGAAGGGCTAGCTGGTTGTTTCGAGGCATACTGTACAAGGCTTCCGCTAGATCGGCTGCTCTTTTCAATATAATTTCCTGTTGGAAAAATATCTGATCTTTAAACTGTATTTGATTCTTAAATAAATAAATAATCGCTGCACTCCTTACCAGCTTATTCTTTGACATAAACAATATTTTAAAATTTCTTACTTGCGTATAAAACTATAGTATATATTTTTTTATTTTTCAACCGAATTAGGGTACTTTCTATAGATTTGTGCAATTGGTTACAACTTTAAGCTTCTCCTAAAACTAAATAAAAAAACGCAGTGTCCGACCCGGCTACCGGCAAACCTCGTTTGGTGTCATCGATTATCCAGTGTATTTCAGTTCAGTTCTGAAACACAAACGTCAAATCTCCCGACGACGCTCTCGAAAATGTCCGAGAGACGACCCCGAAGGGGGACAATTAACAACAGATGTTCACAATTTCCTGGTGTGAAAGTACCTCTCATAATCCAGCCTAATCCCGCACAATTGTCCGAGTGATTTCTCTTAGTCGCCTCCAAGCTGCTGGTGGTCCCTCTCCCGCACACACGTCACTTGGGTTAATGATATTCTCTATTATTGTACGATAAGTTCCGTTTGATAAGCCATTAAAGGCACCATATGTCCACTTATTACGAAAAATTATTCGGATTTTATCACGAGGGATAAATCGACTGACATCCTCTTCCGAGTACAGATTCACTCTCACTATAACAGATCGCCGGTTCGATTGATAAAAATGTAAATTAATCATCTAACCAAACTTACCTTAGGCAATTTTTCTGGATCACCCGGGTGACGAGGTATCAGCTTGGCTAGCCGTTGAAAACCGTAATCAATCGTTGGTTCGTTTAGAGCTGTAAAGGAATAAACACAAATTGAAATGCACATCATTCTATACACTAATAGAAATTTGCATATCTTAAACACGTGACAAGTATCGAGTTTCGTTATCACCGGATCTATCTAATGTAAAAAGAGACTAGTCTTGGGGGGGGGAACGTCAACGATATAATCTTAATGATTTTAGATCTTTCTCCTTCGTTTCCGTATTATAGCCCGGTTGAAGAATGAATGCTATTCTTTAGAATGGAAAAGTTATGGCAGCGCGAATCACGCACTATTCAAACAGGCACGTAGTCGAACGTGAACAACTCGGTCGTGCTAAGAATATCATTCGTTTAGTCGTTACATACAAAAGAAAGTCTACCGATTAAATCGTATTTTCTTCCTTTTTCCTCTTCTTTTTTGATGAAACTATCGTTTTGAAGCTTTTCGATATATAGCCAGGGATTGTTGATTGAGACGATGACAGCTGCATTAGTAAGGAAGAATTACGACGAGACGACAGTTGTAAAGTTACAGACATGAAAAATTCTTTATATACATTCCAATATAAAAAATAAAAAGATATTCGTATCTCGAGAAAATTCACGTAACTTTACTTTTCCCTTTATAAAATAAAATATTCGATTTAACTATCATACATTGAAAAACTTTAGCAACTTTTGTAATGATTTCAACAAATTGTATGCAAACCCGTAATTTAGAATTCTATAAAATTAAGCGATTTTCTAGAAAATTCAAAATGCCAGAGAGATGTTTCAAAGAAAGACACAAACTTATAAAAGTAAGCGAAAAGACACTACTAGGTGAAATATTTATGTCGCCTTTCGTGATAGCTACTGTCACGAGAAGTAGTAGTAACGTAAGGCTTGCGTGATCCGACGATTATTAAGGAGTTGCGAGGTCAGTTCCCTGGAGGTGAAGCACGTGATAACCAACAACCCAAGAACAGCGATATTGGATTTTAGGATTGTCGCATTCCGTATCGCCCAAAACTTATTTCTCAAATTTTCCAAAAATCACGCAAACATCGCTTTCGTCCCATTAATTTTCCCTGCTTGATATCTAAGTACTTCGTTTCCTAGATAATTTAAGAACGTTTGTAGCTAGGGAAGACGACTTCGGTTGGAATCGGAACGGAAGAAGGAGGAATAAAAAAGGTGGCTACTCTTTGGAAATAAATGCCTCTTCCAACTTTAAGTAAAAATTATTGGTTTCTCCATGTCTGAATTAGTAAAAAAAAATTTAATATTTTATACTTACAAACGTAGACAAATCTGCCGGGTGCTCCTTTGCAGAATTGTTTGGATTTATAGGATAAAGTGACTTCTACGACTCCTGGTATGTGTCGCGGTGGGGTTTGGACTCGTATGGCGTGCGACGTTATCAACTACAAAACAATAACAAAGCTTGATATGAGTTATCACATTAATAAACGATTACGTGATAAAAATAACGTCTAAATACTTGTATTTTATAGGATTGCCGTGGACGAGAATAAGTGCAGATTCATACATATTTAGTAGAAATAAATAGAAATAACGAGCTTTTATATGAACGTTAACATGTAGTTAAGAAAGTAGAATTAAATATTAAATTTTTAACTTTAAAATTGTCATTTTGAAAAGTATTTTAATCAGTAGTAATTGCTTCAAATTAATGTGTCTAAATTTCAACAATTGCATAAATGATTCATTTACAAATTTAAAATCATACTTCTTCCAAAGACTTGTAAATTTATAATTTAATTAATTAATACCATTTATTATCATTTAACTTATAAAATATTCATTTCTAACAAACTTCTTTAAAATATATTCTATAATAAGTTAATTTGTTAATATATTTATTAATTTTAACAACTTTTTAAATATTTTCCTACACAAAAAGCGCATTCTTTAAACGTGGAGATGATAATTATTATAAGTAAAATTAAGTGTATTATTTTATAAAATTACTTCTTTTATTCTTTATTTTTTATATTTTGTTTGTTTCGTAGTTTAATTTCCAATTAAAAGCTTTTAAAAAGTCTTTAGAAGACGAGAAGAGTATCTCTTCCACTGCTGTCGTTAGTCAAGAATCAGTTAGAATTGCCAATGAGTCTATTATAGATAGAGATCCGCATCTCATCCCGATTGTAGTTAATTCTATCAACATTTTGTTGATGGCACGGAAAATTCGAATTATAACAGCCAATAGAAAGTTTACATGTATGGAGCGACTCCGTTATCTTCTACCTATTGGACTAAGGAGAACATTCACTTATCACTTGTAACTTCGGTTTCTAGTTGCGAATAAGGGACTAGAGATAAGGAGCAACAATTCTATCGGGGAGTCGAAAGCACTCGGGACTCTAATTTACACTTGAACGGGAGATAACGGTCTCCATAACAACAGGCATGCCAACATCCACCTGCTGTTCGAGTTCGGGCCTTTCTTGGGTAACAAACTTTAGCCACGCACAGAATAACGATCATACTAGCATTTAATAGTACAAAAAAATAAAGTAGAAATCTTCCAAATATCAAAATAAACAGTTAATGTTTACATCTCTAGTTTTTTTCCTATCATTCGTCACAGATTATTGACAGTATATCTTGTTTATCAGATTCGACTTACTCATATTACATTTTCTACGATGTAAATATATTTATGTGTTTCTTACCTCGCTCCACACCAGCATGGTCCCAAATACAACTTGTAGGCCGTCGAAGAAATTATCTCCTATGATGATGACTGTGGATCCTCCCGAAGTCCATCCTTCGCTCGGACTGATGGCTTTAATGCAAGGCGTGGCTGCAGAAGGAACTGTCAGGATGATCAAATAATCTTTCGTTTGATTGTTTAAAATTACGTGTAAGTATTGATTATTAGGATAGATAAAAAGGTTTAATAGGCACACAAATACCCAACTTGTTGAGTATTACGTTATAGAGTAACGGAAGATTATAGGTTTAGAAGAGTTTAGAGATGATCTTTCCATAGATTTTACCTTTATCGAAACGGAAATTATATTCTACGTAAGCTTCATAAGATTGTAATTTACTTCTTTTATAATTATATAATTAAATATTTACATTTAATGATTAAAATAATTAGAAAATTAACGTGTTTGAAGTGCCGTAAAAACTTATAAAGTTAGATTTTCATTGTAAAAATGCTTGTAAGCGGAATGTATTTTATGCAAATGATTCGGAATCAAGTTCTATCAAAAAATTATATAATGGTATTTCATAAAACTTGCTTTTATATGGTTTAATTTCTAGTTTATGTCCGCTATAAATGTATTTATATTTTATTAAAGTCATCTTTGTAACGCTTAAACTCAATTGAAATAGTAGCCACGGCTAACTGTGCTAATTCTCCAATTTAACATTTAACCTGTAAATGGTTAAATGTTACAGGTTAAACAGGTTAAATGGGGTTACAGGTTAAATGTTAAATGTTAAATTGCTATTATAAAAATAGATTGAAACAATTCTTTCTATTAAAATATACATTCTTGACGAGCGATATTTAAGAAATTCCTATTTAATTATCGAAATTTGATGAATGAATTTTAATTTTAGAAAGCATTGCATAATTCTTATACCTTACATCAAAAGCTGTCTTGTACTCTAAATATAACCTTTTAAATATTTATAAAGAGTTGGAAGAATAATTTCTTGTATTAAGAAGCTATTAAAAATCACATAGAATTGGTGCAAAAGTCAAGTTTTTGCGTTGTTTTAGCTTTTGTTTGAGCGCTTTTATTTTGATACTTATTGCAATACAGCCCATAATAACCATTATGAGGAGAGGAAGAGAGAAAATCGAATGGTCCCCTGCCTCGAGATTCTTTCTCTCTAACCCCTAAACACCCAGGGGAAACTTCCTTGCTCTAGTGTGGAGAATTAGCACAGTTAGCCGTGGCCCGAGATGTCAGTAGAGAATGGTCTGATGTAAGATGTGGACTAGTCAATTAATCAAAGCCCCCAAGTCCCGCCGGAGAAGGGGGAAACCAGTGCCCTGGGCACTCTCCGATAATAACTTCATGCGAATAGGTTTGCCACAGTCGACTTGTCGTCAGTAAATCTTCGCTACTTTTTCGCTATTTTCTGACCTTTCTTGTGCAGTTGTGTTAAATCCCTTGACCATTGAGTTTACTTCCTTCCTCGAAGAAACACAGGTAAAAGTACTTCCGATATTAAACTCTATATCCTACTCCATCACTCTCATTCGTATATTTCATATTTATTACACTAAAATAACGTTTCATCTATCACATATGTGAATTTTAATTAACTATCATTCGAATTTAAGCTTATCCAAGTATTTATATGCAACAAAAATGGATTATTTCACAAATAAAACTAGAAAAATTGCTTTTTACTAACTCAAACTTTTGAAAAGAAATCAAACAAAACTGTGGTTTCGATTTAACGACTTTATAGGGACCGCCGTACAAACAGTAGTTAGTTCAGCAAGACCATTGGGATTTTGAATTTGCCGGAAGCAAAAATGGACACTTACAAGATACCATCGATAACTTTTGCCTTTGGTTTTCAATTCGTGTTAAGCACTTTGTTAATGTAGATTCGTAACGATGTTAGGGCGTAAGTAAATATACAATATAAAGATATAATAAATGATTAACTAAACATTGTAACATTTCTTCTAATAAAACTTTTTCAACACTTCTTTTTTATAAGAATTCCGATTGCTGGATCTTTTTTATTTAAGTTCCGGATAAGTTTTTAGTAAATTTAATTAAAAACACCGACTTAAAGTTTATCTTCGATTCTCAAATCGACTGAAATAAGTGTGAAAGTTAACCAAAAAATCCTGAAAACTTTAATAATTTAAAAATTTTAAGTGTTATTAAGAAAAAAATTAATGTAATTTTATATAAAAATCTAACGATTTTTATTATTTTTCTCCTGTCTTTTCTTAGATAACATAGAATAGTTTCAAGATTTCTGTACATTATAATTTAGAGAGGAATGTAAAAAAAGACAAGACAGACAGTTTATGAATTTACTTGTGTCTTAATATGAAAAAGAGCCCGCATATTCGCGACCGACCTATTACAAATGAGGTTTTACTTTCGCACCATTTGTCATTCATGAATGGCTGAACACATTCTTATCCTTTCAGAAATTTTTGTGTTCATTCTTTTTGTACGAGAAGATATTTAAATTAGAATCTCTCTTTTTTTTTATTTTTAAATTTTTTAAACATTACTTTGAAATCGATATAAATATGTTCGATTATTTTTAAAATTCGGTAGAATATTTGCGATTCTTTCATACTCTATCCATTATCGTATTGTCATAAATGTCTAAGGAATATTTTTAAAACAGAAAATCAGTAATAAAAGTATATTCAATGATAGAACATTTTAATAATTAATTAAATTCTGTTTTGCTTCTGTTTATTGTTCCTTGTTTATATTGTATTTTGATTAATATTTAGAACGTGTTTTTGTATTTTTCACCATTAAAACAGAAAATTTTAATTATCGATGCTTGTTTTAAATAAAGACTAAAATAATATTGTTTATCAAACTGAAAACATGTAAATAAGTTTATACCCAAGATAAATGTTTAATGTATTGCTATATTTATTGCAATAAAGGCTAAGAAAATGTGTACATCATACATAATTCTATCTAAAATAATTGTCTGAATACAATTAGAAATACAGAATTATTAAAAATAAAACGTTCCTATTATATTTAGTTTGATACGGATGTTGATAACTTAACATGAATAATAAGAATTTTAATCTTTTAATTTCCGAAATTAAATAGTTATTCAGCCATAAATTTGCTAGCGATGAAAGTTTTCTTAGAAGAATTGTAATGCTACAAGCCAGCAATCTATTCTATTTCGAGATTTAATATATATAAGAAAAAAAGCCTCTTTAGAATAATTATTTACTCCAATATAAATCCAATATTTAGCCTGGCTTATTCGAATTATCCATGAAAGTTTTATAGTATTAAAATATTAACATTTTATGCTAAGTTAAATGAGAAATACTTAAGGATTATCATTTAAAAATTAAATAATATAGCACTCAATTATGTTAAATTTGATAAAATAGCTGTATTAAAGTTGCTTTTGCGGCACAGCTTATAGTTACTTGAGATTTACAACACATATTTCTAGAATAAAGCGTATTTATGTACGAATTTATATATTATATAGACATAAAAATCGAACCTTACCTTCTGTAGGATCAAGCCTTTTAGCCCTTCGGCCATGTTTAGAGTTATTATGTACGAACATGTTGTCGGAAACTGCTAAAAGCGGTCCATCTACTATGACTTGAGTCGAAATGACCACCTAAACGACATCCGATAAACCTCTTATAGAATCATTTCAAGAATAAAGAACTATTTAGTCCTAAATTAAAACTTAAGTACACTATTATACGTTCTTATTATTAAGCTTTTTTAAATCATGCGATTGTTTCTCTTACGAATTTTAATACTATAGGAACAAAAAATTGTAGTTTGTATCCTATACCGCGCTAGGAATTTGGCGTTTCGCATAATGTAATTAAAACAGGGTTTATCTGCTCTTTAAATAATTTTTATTTTGGTTATTGATAATATACAGACACTATCAACACGTTATTCGTAATCGGGGCGATATAAACGAAATGGGGCCCGCGCCATTATCGAAATGAAACACAAACCCGCTCAGAAACTATAAAAGTATACGATTTAAATCAATAAAACAGTGTTTTCGTTATTTATTTAAATAAATTTATATCAATACGTGTATTTTTTTTAATGTAAAAACCTTAAATTTTGGGGATCCTCTACGTCAGAAGCCAGACTAAAGTCCTGCCGACTCCTTTCTTATTTACATCTGTGCGTAATAAAACTATTTCTGATAAATTTTTACATTCTGCTATTCTTTAATTAGAATGTTAGCATGTAATTACTTACCAGAAAAACAGTTTCATTGCGAATATAGTCACTGTACTACAAAAAATTATTTTTGTGTAAAATTCTTTTTAAATATTTAAGCATATCGTAAATTTTTTTATAGGATTAATTATTTTATTAGGCTACATTATAAACATTTATGAGAAAAATTAAGGAAAATGGCTAATACTTTAAGGCACTTCGCATTCCTATGTTTTTTTTATGCTAACTTTTGACATTTTTGAGCAGTTCCACCTCTTGATTTCTTAACTATTTTTGTAGCTTTTAAGGCCAATTTTTTCTTTATAAAAAGTTAAAAAAATAATAATAATAATTTAGTAGTATGCGAAATACAGACCAAACGGCTAACATTTCGCGGCTTGCGTTACAAATTCTTAATTTACATGGATTAATAAGTTATTGTTTAAGGACCTAAACAATGCCGATTACACAAAATATCAATAGCAGATTTTTTTTTGTTATGTATAATAAAATATTAGAAACATTCGTGTGAACTGTTAGAGTCGGTGACAAATCATTATTTCGTCACGCCAGTTAACGTTTCACCTCAGAAATAGTAGCACAGATGGAAGTTGTTATACTCTTATTACGTTTAGCTTACACACAAACTAATCTGGAACACTTGCCTAGAGGCTTCCGTGTCACTTTTGTAGATCCATACGTTTTTCCTTTTTCTTTTTACATACGAGACTCAAATTTCTTATGATCAATTGCTGACAGGTTGCATCGATAGGCCCCAAGGTAATAATCGCGTGATGCGAGCATTTGGAACAGAAAGCAATTCTTTGCGCTGCTATGAAACTCTATGCAAATCTATTTTTTGAAATGCTATTTCATCTATTATTGAAAGAATGCTATAAAGGTAAGGAAAAGAATTGATATATTTTTAGTTAGCATCTACTTCTCCATTAAAGTTTGATAGCCGTGTCATCGTTTTGACTTCAAATGTCAGAAAATGCAAATTTTGGGGGAAAGCTTTGAACTTCTCAACAATTTTAGATTAGTTTGAAAGAATGTTCGATAATTTGAGTTTTTTTCTTGAATTTTTTTGACTTTTTTCTACGTTCTTTAGTTTGTATTATTATTTTTTTTCCTTCTCTACTAAGACGATTTGGAGGAATGATAAAAGAAAATCTAAGCTGATTTTCAAACTTTAATTAAAGAATTAAAAAAATGTACTCGTAAAAAATACTTAAAAAAACAATTTAGGGTAATTAGAAAGCGTGATCGTAACTTAATACTTTTAAACTATAAGATTTGATTTTAGAAAGTTGTATTGAAAGATAAAGAGTAAGTGGCTCTTGGCGTAGAGAAGCGCTTTCCCGCAGCGATGTTGACACACGTTATGTACACAATCATGGTTGTCCAGACAAGGTTAAGGGTCAGTTTCATTCACCATCCGGAGCTCAGAGGCTCGTCATATTCCCTTAGCGACTAGCCGGCTCGAAACAACCAGGACCGATGACTTCCCAGGTGTATAGTAAACAGGCGAGATAAAAATGGTGTTGCGGCTAATGGTGACCGTTGTTGGAAGGTTCCTTCTTTCTTCGACGGGGGAGCCGAGTAAAGATGTAAATTCGTCGACTACACGAAGTAGAATGGCATCAAGGGTTTTTTTTTTGTTTATACCGTGCTTACCATATTCAGCGACAGACGGGAGCACAGTTTACGAGACGTGAGGGACATTTGCATGCAGTAAATGTTAAGGAGAGAGTAGGTCTCGCGAGAGTTTGTTCCCTTTCACTAAGTGGAATGAACAAGAGCCAAATGATTCACAAGAGCACGGGACACAATCATTTTTAATACCATACTAATGTTCTTGTATCGATATACTCCACTGACCTGAAATCTCCTCATATCTCGTGGATTTCCTGCATTCTTCAGACAATTCTGGTTGCACTTGAGAAAGAACTTGAGGAAAAATCTAAAATATAGAAAAGAACTCTGTTATAATCTCCTTACTTAGAAACGACTACTCATCGAATCAAGTATTAAAAAGAATTATTTTTTTACTTGCCTCATTTCTCATTTATTAAAAAAAAATGAAAATTTAATTTGGAAAAAAAAAATATTTTCTTTATCCGAAATTCATGACGTTCTGACATTTATAACAGTTTAGTGATCGGGATTATGACTAAGTAGTGCTATCATGTTGTTAAAGAGAAGCAACGAAAAATTAATTATAACAGGGAGGAAAATCTTCACGCTATTATTAAATAGGATTATAGATAAGAACGTGTACTCCCACAGTCCTATTTCTTGTTAATAATTCGTTTGCATAAAAATATCTTTGGTCTTTTTACTAACAGCGAGATAGATTATTTTAAATAAATTCAATTTGACTATTTTAAACGAAGCAATGAAGCCGTGTTCGTTGTTCACTTTGACACTTGGTCGAGACTAAATATTTCAATTATTTTTACGAGAATATTCGCAGAGATTTATTAATGTATCTTTAAAAAATTTTAAGTATTTTTGCCAAGAATAATTAATTCTTTTTTCTTAGAGTGCTTATTAAGTTTCCAAAACTTAATCCAAAAAGCGAAGCACCTTACTAGTTTTATTACAGTTTTTTAAACGAGGTTGCCTTAATTCGTTGTCATTTGAAACTTGAGAAAAAAACCAAATTATTGGGCTCAAATTGACGCATTTCTTTTTTGAATATTTCAAAAAGTCCCCGCTTTAATCAGAAGTGGACACGAAGCGATCGTGTTTCCTTCCTTTCCCCAAGGATCGGCAGCTAGAAGAATTATTCGACACACCTGGGATCTACCATCGACAAGAAAAGCATTTTAGTATATTCTTATTTAACCACATTAAAATTTTAGCACTTGATATGACCGAACCGATGTTACTTCAGTCCTTCACACTTTAATGGTATTTTCTAGTTCGATTTTTTATGGGACCGAATAGGCTCCTGGGGTCCTTATCACGAATCTTAGCCATATAATAGAGCTTCAGTAATTTAAAAGAAAAAGTATTAAGAGTGTAAAATGGGGGCAACTTTAGAAATTTTTAATATTCTCTACTATAATTTAATTTCCCACCGAAGTAAAATATCATCTGTTTAGATAGTGGAATTGTATAAATTCGCTCTTCTTCGTAGTTTACAAAGTTTAAAAATCTCGTACAGGAAATTTGAGTTTTAAAATAAAACACTAGTTTTACTGCTTTGTAGTGTAAAAAATATTCACTTAACTCGAATCGCTTATGTATAATGTCTCCAGCGTTGTTTGAATGGACATTTTTCGCTTTAATAAGTCAGCCATGCAGAAAAAATAAACAAGTTTTCGAAAAGTTAAATGGAAATTCTTGCAAGCGAAGCATTCTTGTATAAACAGTGGATGAATTTTTCGGAAAACCGAAGTCGGCATGAAGGTCTGACGACATCCGGAAACTTCAGTGATCAATGACAATAGATTTAACGGGAGTTTTTAAACAATTGGCGGACGGCAAAGACAAACATTGCGGGACTTTAACCCGCTGGGTCAACAAGGTGGCTTTTTCCACCCCACGTCCTCCTCTTTTCCCCACTTATAGTCATTCGAATCTTTCCACCGGCATATAAGCACGCACAAAGAGAGGCAGATGGGGTCAAGGGATCCCAAATTTAATTTCCACAACATGCTAAACTGACTTATTTTGCATCACATTGCTCTCTTTCAGCCGTCCGCCATTCTATAGAGTACCCACCCTAATCATATTACTCCGGCGATAATGATGATGATAAAATTCATGGTTTCTGTTTATCTCCCCGATTCTGTTCCTTTCTTCTCGAAAGCTCTCCGACAATCTCCCCACCCTATTAAATATGCTGCCTGCCACATGATGGGGAGTTAGGAGAATAATATGGATCTATTGTTGTCTTTGTCTTGTTTCTCCTAAAGCACTTCACTATTCCATAATTCAACTTCTTTTTTCTTAATTCGCTTTTAAATAAATATTTTTTATCGCAAAATTTAATAGAATATGAAGGCGTCTTCTAACATAATTGAAAATTTTCAATACTTTATAATGCGAAATATTAAATTTGTCACATAATTAAGACTTCTTCGGCTCATTCGGTGCCGTCGTTTTTTTTTTTATCTGAAAATAACTTACTTTCTCATCTTTTATATTGTGAAATTTTCGCCAAATCTGTTATTTCTGCTGATGCAAAGAGGACCCACTACGTTTAATTCAGAACTTATTGCTCTCTATTCGTGAAACATCAAATCCATGCATCAGGCCATCCTGATCCGAGAGATTTTCTCTCGGACTCTGTTTTCAATTACACTCCCATTCTGGGATTCCGTCATTTATCAGGACAGGGATTTGATGGGTCAGATTAGAACGTGGCGATTCCCTGACTCATTCTTCCCTTCAGTTTTCCGGAGCACGTGCTGCCATACTTAACATGCAGAGTACCAATGGATTCCGTGCCTGCTTCCTATCCATTCCCCCAAGATCTCGAGGGACAATCCCTTCTGTTTCTTCCCTCCCTTTCCTTCTTTTTTATTCGCTTCGATATGGTATAGTTCAGCTGGGGAGTTTGTTTTTTCCTTCTTTTCTCGATCCTGTCTTATTGTAGATTTGACAATATGTACACCGCACTGGGAGCTGTTATGCAAGGTAGGAGAAGATCGCAAACACGCAGCACGCGAAACGAAACGAACGATGTTTTCCCTCTTAGGCCAAGTCTAAACCTCGAAGTCCCCAAACTATTTCTACTTACATCTGGTCTTTTGTCAGATCTGGAAGTTTGTCTTTGCTATTTCGTCGTATTAAACTCTGTTGTGTGCTTGCAGGAGGGTGGACCTCGGAGATAAGCCTTCCGGAAGCTTTTAAAGGTAAAAAAAAAATATACTGATATACATGCTGCAAGAAAGTATTTGGCATCTTGTTCCTGGGCTCTGGGAATTGATGAAGGAGAGACAATAAAAGAAAAATCTCGACAAATAACAATACTGTCTGCACTCAATTTGTCTATTTGTGGCTCAAGAGATTTGCTTTCAAGATTCTTTTATTCAGATTGTTTTCCACATTATTCTGACTAGAAATAAAATCTGATTGCTATAAAACATCTCTCTCTGCTTCCTCTCCCTCTCGCTCTCTCTCTCTCTCTCCTTCAGTTTAATAAGCATAATCATTTTTTACATTCTCGATGATGCTCCTAATCTATTGTGATACCAGATAAATTGGGCAATATGGGATTACAAGAAAACATTTCTGTTTTCGGCATCTTTAAAAATCTTATAACACAAATAATTGCTTCCTTTTTTCTTCCATATTTTGCAAGCAACAATTTAAAAATTATCCAAGGAAAATTTCATCAATTAGAACATTTTATTGGTTTAATCATTAGAAAAAAAATTCTTTTGATATTTCAAAAGAGTGTTCATTTTTTTCTTATGATTACGCTTTAAATAAAATATATAAAAAATATTATCTAAAATTCATTTTATATAATTCAGGCTCGTGTTGTTGGCCTAGGGGAGAATCTCAACAAAGTCTGATTCTCTCTCAATTCCCTTTGAGATTTAAATTATTATTATTATTATTAAACAAAATACAACTTTTTAATTATTCAAATATAAAAAATAAAACTTTTTTGTTGATAAATTAAATAAAAATATTAAATTTATATAGTCCATAAAACTTGTTATCAATTATAAATATGTTAAATGTACGAATTGCTGGGCATTTTATTCGTTCAAAAACTATATTAGAACTAGTTTAACTTAAGTTATATATAGTAATACTGTGTTTAAATATAAATTAAAATGTACTGAAATTAAAAATTAAGCAAATTGAGAAATAAACTATAACAATTGCCAAACTATATAAAGCCTGGAGCGAAATTCATTAACAAAACGCTCGAAAGCAATGAATAATATTTTATTAAAGTTTTTCTTTTTTTAGTTAGTATCTTTGCCTAGTCTTGATTATAATAAAAGAAAAATGCAAACGAAAGTACTGAAAAAAGAAACTAATTTCGAATAAAATAATTTCTTAAAACTACAATTCAAAAATAACATATACACAGAATGATGAAGAGAGAGAAATAAATAATTGTATAATGATAATATTTATCTATTTTTACATGCAAAATGATAGTTTTTCTTTTTTTTTTAAGAAAATACTTTTGAAAAACGAAGTTTTAATAGGATATTTTTATATTATTTCATTACTTCTGCTAATTCAAAAACGGATGAAAAGTAATGATGAAAATATTGAAATGTAAATATTTTTTTAAAAATAATGAAGCTCTTGTTAGCAAGAAGAAAAATCTTACGTAAGTATTAGCAAGTACAGGATCGAATCTGTATCGCCCCATGTACTGTACAGTACTGTATTGTACAATACTTGCTACTGTTCACGCCTACTACTAGTTACGGCTACAATATAAATTACTGCTACTATTATTACTTTTATAGTGTCTTCTATAGTGCTATTTTATAGGCTACTGTACTTTATGTAAAGTACAGAAAGCTATCGAAATTTTATTAAATTAACATTTGATTTTTTATATAGTTTATTTTCAATTGAATTTGACGATTATTTCAATAACCTTTGAAGCTTTTTTCAAATAATGGATTCATTTCTATATTTATTTTGATAATATTAAAGTTATAAGAAACTTTTATGATTATCTAAGTTACTTTTAAACATTCAACATTAGAATTTTGTAATAATATAGATAAATAATTTTATGCCTTTAAAAAAAGGGCTTTATTATTATTAATTACTCGTCTAATAAATACAAATTTTATAACTTTTTAATATATAAAGTTTAATATTTATAGAAAGTTAATCAACTATTCAATAACAATTGAGTTTTTTTATATTCAATCGTTGTCGGAGCGTGAGAGAGATGAGACGAGGCCCCATCCCTTCCTAAAAACCATAAAAATATATGAATAAATAACTAAACACAAATTTTTA